TGTCATCTTCGATTAATTTTCCTTTGATGTAAAATATTAACATTTTTTTATTTCCATTTTATATTTTGGCTTCATATAGTTGCACCATCTGATTATTTCGAGGTTTTTTAAGTTTCTTGATAAAGAACTTGACTACCTCTGGGTCTCTAAAACATGCATTTGAGCTGTAAACGTTCAGTTTTGGAGTTTACCATCTGCATACAATTTGACCTCCTTGGCAGATAGGGTTTTCTTGTTGAAACATTTCAATTGATTATTCGGCTGCCTTTGGGTTTTTCTTTTTTTTTTTGCGGTGCTTTAATGTCCGTGCTCTTTATATTTCTTAGTTTTTTTTATTTTTTAAGTGTGAAGCAAGGGAAGCAAGCGAAGCTTTCTAACACTTTTTCGAGTGATAAACACTTTGATGGCCAATTTTGGTCATGAGACTTAAAAGTATATATCTTCATAGCATTGTTATATACGTTGCCATACATATAACAAATAACAAAGAAAAACATGAACACTAAGGGAGCAAATAGGTCGATGTTTTCTTTTACGTAGATTTTATATTTATTGATGTTTATTTTGTTGTGCTTATATAAAATCTCATGGAAGTGATAGCTATTGTTGTATTCTTTCTTATGGAGAACTATTTGGGTTTTATTTTTTCTATTGTTGTTTTTTAGTTGTTAAATATATACCTAGTGATTTTGGTTTTTGTTTTGACAGATTTGAATATATTTGCTGGATGTAGATATGGAATTGAAGTAAGGTATGTTTCAAAGACAAAAGAAGTGGAATTGAAGATGTAAATTATGGATATTGATGTAAACAATGAATTAGTGAGTTTTTTTTTTTTTCAATTCAATATGGGAAATTATACTAAAATATGTTAGGGGGAATTTAATTCATGAATGTATAATGTTGAAGACCCAAATAAATTAATACTATATGCATTTCTCTCCCTCTCTCTTAAAAAATTTAGGTAGCTAGATCGGGAACAATTGGGCAGTTCAAGTTCAAGAGAGCAGTGGAAAAAGCTTTCCATTATTTGGCAAAGGTGGCAAAGGAAGAGCCCTGGTAAATTTGTGTTGTTGCTCATTTTGAAAAGCATCGATTTTTATTAATCTCTATCTTTATTTTTCATTTGATTTTTTCTGCAAAAAATTATCCAAAATGTTGGTTTCTTTTTGTTGCTATTTGATTCTTAGTTTTTCATTTGACAAACCATACTTTTTGTCGATTTTCCAATGTTTATTGAGAAGGCTTGCGATTTCTTTTTCAACCTAAGCATTGCTGGTGTAATTTTAGTTTATAGATGCCCAGTTGTTGGGGTAGATTCATCTGCTACTTACTCATAACAGTTTTATTTTACTTTTTCTTCAACCTATGTTTATTTCAAGATTTTCCATTGCCCTCTTAAGCAATTCTATGCTATTTTTTGGGGACAATTGCCAATAGTGAATAATGTTTTATTAGCCATCTATTTCACAACTTTGGTAAGTTGTCACGTTTTCGCATCAACATAGGTTGATTCAACAACAAGACAGTTGTAACACAATGCAACATTAAAATACATATTATCAGTATTAATAAAAGGTGCGCATGTGTATTTTTAAATTTTCCGAAATATTAGTTATAATTATACACTGGACTAGAGCCGGCTGTGCGTGCACAGCCGAACGCCCAACTAGTATATATATATATATATAATAGCACATTAATATAAGCTTAAAATTAAAATGATTTTGAACTAAAAATTATAGTGTTTGTAAATACATATATGATATAGCTTCAATAGCACTCATGTTACACTACAGCATTATGTAAAATTCCTTGTAGATATAGTTCTCAAGTTACATATTTGAACTTAAATTATGAGCATGAGAAAATGTGATATATTCTGTTAAAATTAAAGAAATGAGAAGGGCAGCTAAAAGGAAAATGCTACGGTCCCGTTACGGAACCATTCTGTCGGGGTTTGTAACCATATTAGATCATGTAACCGTTAGGAATAGTTGATCTAACGGTTACAAACCCTGATGGAATAGTTTCGTAACCGGACTGTACCATCTCCCTAGCTAAAAAAGAACTTCTGATAATTTTGTATATTTGAGTTACCCTTTGGAAAATGTACAAGTTTTTCTCATGATGAGTTACAATCGCCGCTTTCACTTCCTTTACTGCACGAAAAAAAGGGGGAAAAAAAGTTCGATTAGAGAATAAAATCTCATGAAGTAAGTATTTTTTATTCAAAAAGTACGACGAATCGACCTGCGTAACTGTTAGGCAGTGTCACAACACAATCCGGAAGTAAGACTAGTTGAGGAAGAGAAAAAAATTCCGAACATACCTTGACGAGCATGCGAAAAAGAGTTCCCCATGGCAAGAAAAATGAAAACACAAATACAAACAAGCTGCTGATCAAGGCCATCAATGGCTAAAACCTCACCATTTTTATTTTTTATTTATTTTTAATTCACTTGTTCAAACTTCTCTTCAAGATGTTTACTAATATTAACCAATGGCATGATAAATGTATATATATAGAGAGAGAGAGGATGAAATATTTGTAAAATATTTTTTTGTGCACTTTGTAGAAGTAGAAATTTATATTTATATTATTAAAGTACAAAATAAAATAATTAAGTTATTTAAATAATTCGAGCACATTTGGAAATTCGAGTTTGTAGGCCAAAAACAAGAAAGCAATGTTCAAAGTTTCAGTTATTTAATTCAATAATTTTAAAAAATTGCACATTATTAATTTATTCATTTAGTTGAGTGACTGCAAATTTCAGTCATAGCAACACAAATTACAAATCCAAATGAGGTTACAGACTTCAGATTCTAATGTACATTCTTGTCTTCGATTTTTATATGGAGATGTTAAAAATTAAAGCTGCTTAAAAATTTTTCTATGTTGGTGTAATTTCTATTTCGTCCAGCTTTCATTTTGATCGGAATGACCTACCGTTGGACTCATCACCTTGAGACGGTCGTACCTATACATTTTTCAGCTCAATTGGAGTATAGGTACGACCGTCTCAAGGGCTAATTTCGTATTAGTCGGGACTTTCTTTTACTCGATACGGTGTGATCCATAAACTTTCGACCCAATTGGACTTCGTTTGCTCGTTCAATTATCCATTAAACGTTGAAATATGTTGCTCTCTCTTTGGGCTAATTTCGGCATTGTCCAACTTTCATTCTGATAAAGTGGCCTGCCGGTGGACGGACTAGTCTAGTGCTAAGGTCATACCCGTAAAATTTCAATTCAATCAGAATTCGTTTTTACCTATCGAGTTTTTCGATTAAAGTAGGCTCGTAAACGAGAGCTCGGCTCGTTAGAATTTTATTAGTTTGTATTTTAATTTCATTGTCATATTTAAGTTTGTTACTATTGTGGAAAAATGTGTTAGAATTAACTACTACTTATTAAGTATTTTTCAAAAGTTTGCAAGTATTTTTTCAATTGACCGATGCGTGTGTTTAAAGTTTTTTTTTTTTTTTTGGTAGCCACAAGGCTTAAGTTAGTACTCTACGAGGATACGACACTCCGATATTGTCATGGTCCAGCCAAATACCTAACCCCACAGGCGGGGATAGCAAACGATGTAAATCAGTCGGTGAGTTCACCGCCAAGCTCGCCATAGAATCAACTGCAAAGTTTGCGTCGTGGTAAATGTGTTGAACCTTAACGCTCCAATCCCTACGAAGCAGCTTTCGGATGGCTTGAACAAGTGCATCATGAGGGGCTATCTCGTCGCCATGACTCACATACCATGTGTTTAAAGTTTAAACTCAAGTTAGTGGTGGAAAAAAAAAAAATTCAGAACATGGGCAAGTTGTGGTGGCTTTAAAACACTAACCCATCATCACATGATCACATGCAAAAACTGCTAAAATAAATACAACTAACGAGAACAAGTGCATGCAACAAGCATCTTCCAACTCTTTACCACTCTTAAACTAACGACGAGAACTCACAAGACGCAAAACACAAGAAGCGTTTTTCACGACTTTACGACGCAACTCTCGGTGGGATACTCCTTGGGAAAAGCGTGCCCTAATTAAGTTTCTTGATTTTAGCGACTTTAGTTGTGTAAACAAGCCAAGGGCCACGACAGGTCAAACAACTAAAAAACAAAAATTTCACCACTCGAAATTGCGGTAAAGCCCCTCAGCTTTCGAGATTGCTACAAGCAGCTCCGAAAGAAATTAAAGTATGTGCATACTCATGCTTAAACAGAACAAACCTTGGGGCTCTATCTGTAATTTGGAACTTCCTTTCGGTTTTCTCATAACTAACCCAAACTTGAGGGGTGCTCTTTGCAATTAATGCATATCAATTCTATTCAAATTCACCACAGTACAAGGAGTACACTTACCCATATAGTCACAATCAGTTACTAAATCGAGCTTCTCAAATCTCAACAATTGCCAGAAAAACACGATAATCTTTCATATGTCCGTTGTCAGAAATAGAAAACCATGGTCGAATGGTAGATGTTACACGTTCACTAATGCAACATACAAGTCCGTATATAACGCAGAAGGTTCATCTATCATTTGTTAGCCATAAAATCGGTACAAAGGCAATATAAGGACCACTGATTTATATAAACCTAAGCCAAACCAATGTCCCGCGGCATCCACAGTAAATTGAATAAACAGATAATATCAGAAACAGAGATAAATTGACTTGGACAAATTTAATGGCAGAAACAAGAGAAAACGGAATTTACTATAAATAAATTGGGAGCTTTTGTGGCGAAATTTAAGCATCCCAACCCCCATGCAATTTCTTACGATTGCTCTTTGTGGAACATAACTTCTGGCTGCCATTATTTGTCATCTTCCTGTGGACACAGTTCAGAATCAAATAAATTATCGAGGAGTAAGGATGACCAACAACAAACTGAACACTGAGTACCACGAGCCATCGAAATTCGATTGCAATAATCAAGAGGTAAAAACGAGAGGCAACAGCACAAGAGAACTATAACTCTCTTACCAAGTTATATTTTATCAAAATCATCATCAAAGCCATTGTCGCCATCATCTGGGAAATGAAATAACAAAAAGGGTAAAAACCCATCATTAGAACAGCATAAGAGTATGGGTTACTGGATTTAGTGCTTTTGAATCGATATCGAACCAGAGCCTTTATTTTCCTCAGGAAAACTAATTGACCAGGCTAAAGTACATTCAAGGGGTGCATAGTTTAATAAACCTCATTGGTTACTAAGCTTTGAGAGTGAGAATCCTGAAGTTGATATAGGCATACCGCTTGAACATGCATCCTAAGTAAAACACTGGGGATATTTTATGCTGTGATTGTTTTGCATCACAAAAACTAAAGAACTGGTACCATTTCCATATTTGTGCCACGCAAATCTTAAGAAATAAAGTTCTCAAATTGAATACCGCATAAGCATTTTGTGCCACCCACTCGGTAATTCCAAGAGAATAGGACGATGTGTGCCCCTTCTGGAAAATAAACTATGTAATTTTTGAAAAAAAAAAATTAAATAAATATAGAAACAAAAATCATTACAGGAGGAACACTTTTTGCCACTTTACCTAGCAACTAATAAGCCCGACAAACAATTGGCCATGTGAAAGACAATTCACAAAGTGTAGAGGAATGACAGAGTAAAAGATAGGGACAAACTTCTAGTGGTTTAAAATGTACCTGGACCATCATCTCCATCATCCAGATCTCCCAGAAGAAAAACATCCAAATCCTGCTCGGAAACTGGTGACTTCTGAGAGCTGCTCTTCTGTTTTGAACCCTCGTCTGTTTTTGAAGGAGTTGCACTTGATGAAACATCCTTCACCTCAATATCTTTTACCTTTTCAGTAGCTTTGAGCTTTAGATCTTCATTATAACGGTGCTCATATCTGCGAAAATTGATAGGTTTAGATCCAAGCAAGCCTATTAACAAGCCACAAGAGAAGCATACTGACTCGGTGATATGCATATAAGTAGTTAGAGATACGAAAGCCAAATTGATTAATAATATATAAATTCATCTATCTCACAAGGGCAATAAATCCACCAAGCTATCAAACAAAAACAGAACTTCTTCATGAAATAAGCATTGTTAGGCAAGAGATAAAAAAGATCTTTCTCATAAGAACATAAAACTATAACATCAAAACCACATAATTATAGCAAGTAGAGAAACAAGTCTCACATTTATCATCTGATTTATCCTAACCAGGGTATGTAAATGAAGCTCTAAAATGCTAATACAGAAAATTAATAATGATTATGAGACTATGTTTATTTGAAATGAATTAAAATAATCAATTCAGAAGACCACGTTACGATTTGGTAATTAACACAAAAATACTCATTCACTGAAAATCTTAGAACTTCTTCCCAAGCACTGAAAACCTTAAACCATTCTGTAAGGGAGGTTACTTACGGTGCCACATGACTATTAACTAGAATGAAGTAGATCCTCCAGAATTTCCGCTCTTTCATCACTCGTGGACATAACTGATATCTTAGCTTTGAAATTTCCTGAGAGAGAGAAACAATACCAAGGTTACTAGTAGTTTCGATCTGATTCTACAACTTCTAAGTCACTGCATATTTATTTTTACTTGGAAAAACTGATAAGATGGGCCAGCACCCAGCAGGCTCTTCCTCTCACTCTCTTTTGCAGGACTTTCTTAAAATTTATGGAAGGTAACTTTAAGTACATCAATATAATAGTATGACGAAATGACATCGTCTCATAGTTACAGCTATGCAGGTGACATATGACACTAGATATTATTGAAATCTTTAGATAATTTTCTTTTATTAAAAAGAACAGAAAATTGAGTGACTGTCTGATTTATGTCTAGTTTGAATAAATAGGCACAATTCTAAAAAGAACAACCTAACCTTCACAGTTAAGAGAACAAGCTTCGCATGCCTTTCTTGCCACTCGGTAAGATCCTGTCGCACATTTGAAACCGTAGGAACATCAGACATCACTGCATCGTCTGCACATTACCGCTGGTTGGCATAAGTTTTTTTGCATGGTTACATAAATGGAATACACTTTTGAATTTGAGAATATTTTGGTTTAAAGTAACTATGAGAAACAACATCAGTGTTGCAGCCTGAAAAATACAAAAGGTAAATAAATAAGTAAAAAGGAAAAGAAAAATGAAAACAAACAAACAACACTTTTTCACACTATCAACCGTCAATGTTGTTTTTTTTTCCCATTTCTGAAAAACTATGTGATAATGTCAATATAATATCACACAAATTAATGAATGTATCAGGCAAATGCGACATAAGATCGTGAATATGGTTTCACCAGCATCAGCCAGTCTTTTCCTCTCTAGATGGATTTCAGCCTCAATTTCTTCTGCCCTGACTTATTATTGTAATGTTGCCCTACGTTTTTCAACAGGGTGACCCACACTGGGTAACATCCTAATCGCGAAAACTGTCTACCTCCTTGATCCAAAGAAAGTGATTTTCCAAATTTTCTGCAATCAAGGGTCGATTGCCCGAATGCAAGAGTCTTTTTCAAACAAAAAGAAGTGCTTCTTTCTTGTTATTTTTCCTTATTAATCCCAAACTGCTCCCATTTCAGACATCTACATTTTGACCTTTCATTTACCCCCATGAATACTCTTCCATTACCATCATGATTTGCTTCTCAACCCTTAAACAACAAGATTCATAGTTTTCACCTGAACCAACAATAATCTATATACCAATGCAGCTCATAGGCATTTAGAATGTACTAGCATGCCACTACATGTTCTTTTCACTGTACCAATGTAGATGTTTTATATTAAAACATCAAAATGAAAACTATAGCAGCTACACCTTCAATCAGGTATATCAATCAATTCCGGGGGGGAAAAAAGAAGAACACATTCATCAAACACAGAAACAATGCACCCACAAACAAAGCATTTATACAAAGAAGAAAATAGAGTTCAAGCACTAGGACAACACCTTCAAGCGGGAAATCCCGGAACGTATTCATGGTGATCTCCTTGACAAACTCCCTCAGCTCATCAGTCACCCCGTACATCTCCAGATCGGCGGCCTCGACGCCGCCGCTCTGGGAGGCGGACGAGTCGACGAGACCGGACAGAGCGGCGGCGGCGGTGGCGGCGGGCGGGATGTGAGCCGTGATCTGATCGGCGCGCTTGAGGGCCTCGGCGGCGAGCTCCTTGGATTTCTTGGAGGCCTCGGCGGCGAGCTCCTTGGAGCGCTTGGAGGCCTCGGAGACGACGTCGGCAAGGTTGGCGGAGGCGATGCCCTGGGTGAGCTCCTGCGATTTCTTGGCGGCATCCTCGGCGAAGCTGCGGGCCCTCTGCCAGAAATCCATCGCGCGTTTGGGAATCAGACGAAAGTCGGACTAAACTATTTATTGGTTGGGTGGAAATTGGATATCCTT